ACGCATCACGTTATACAAATGGTCATAAATAATTGAAGGTCAACGTCTAAACAGACTGTGATGGTTACACTTGCACGTTATGTAAATGTTTATATAAACTTTTTTTAAAAAATAATAGAAACATCGCTGGATTGATATCCTTACCTAAAGCTTATTTCGAATAGTTTATTTTTCCAATAAACAATATATTTTTATTAAGAAGTTAAAATACAAACATATTACTTTCTCTCTTAGCAAAGAAAAGATTGTCATTACAAGAGAACAATAAAACAAGAACATTATGGAATTATTATTATGTACATACTTTAGTGACAGCGAATGACCTCTATAGTAAAGTAGACGATATATATATATATATATATATATATATATATAAAGATAGCTTATCATGACGCGAACTGAATAAACCTAAGATCAATGATTTATGCACCGTTAATCTTGCTGCCTTCTCGCGTGGCTTCGCTCGATCGAAGATCTACCTATCATCCGAAGACACTGCTGGCTTCATGCCCGAACGATTGCATGGATCGATGAACTTCTTCTTACTATATCCTTGAGAGATATTGAGAATATTGCCACAAAATAGCATATTTCTTGATTCGACAAATGTGTTGCTATCTAATTATTTGACGTAAAAATTGTTCAAAGAGAATCGCGATCTGTATAAATTTTACCATAAGAACCTTAATAATCTATTTCTTTTTTATATATTTTTGCATTCAATCATACACAATCTTTAATTTTTACATATTTGACTTTTACCTGATATATAATTTAAAATTTAAAAACAATATTATTTTATGGATACAAGAAATTTATTAATTTGGTATTGATGCATAATTCTATATAAGATATATATCTCATTTATTGAGATTTTAAATTTAAATTATATAAAACTGTAAAAATTATACACATTCTTACTTACATCTAATTATTTATAAAAATTTTAATATACAATATTTTTCAAAATATTGCCACAAAATAGCATATTTCTTTAGTTTCTGCAAACAATCATTTTCAACATGTTTTTAAATAATTAATAACGAATTAAGAGGAACTGAAACATGTCCAAATTATTACATTTTTTCGAGATACTTTTTCTCGAAAATATTTTTCTCGAAAAACTCTACTTTTACCATACAAACTGCTTCTGCTCACAAAATAATCGATCTGTACTGCCGCGTTGCTATTAAAAACTATGTAGTGACGGCATTTGATGCGGCCCTTAAGGTAGCGGGAACTCCGACGGATCGTCGACGGAAGCGACGATTTTAAGTACGGACTGAAAGACATATTTCGGGACGCGCTCTATATTTACACGCGGGTGTACGCACCTACGTGAGTACAAGAGAAACGCCGAACGATTTACGCGTCTGCGACTCTCTCGACATTCCACGCAACTTTCTTTGTGGTTCCCCGAGGAATGTATGTGCGTGCGTGCATGCGTGTTTGCTCCACACGCTACTCTCTGGAATCCCGCTTACGGAATGCAATGCGAAACTTAGTCTCGCGACTTCATCTTTGACCACCGACCGGCAACATTCGCGGATTTATGTGGCGCCTAAATTACGTCGCTGTCGCTTAACATGAATTACGGACGCCACTGACCGCTCCTCATTCGAGAAGCGTGTCGCTCGCTTAGAATTAAATCCGTCTATTTGTATTTGTAAAAAAAAGTGTCATATAATAATAAATCTTGTGAAAGCAGTCTAAAAGAATTATTTCCGAAAAGGAGAAATAAGACTTTGTTAAGAACAACTTTATTATATATGAAACTCATAAATAAAAAACATTTATAATTAATAGAATAGAAGAGTTAAATAAAAAGTTCTGTTAAAATATTTAGAAAGAGAAAAACTATAGAAAAAAACACTATAAATTAATAATTGTTTATATTACCTATTTCATTCACGAAAATCGATCAATAAATGTCTAAATGCCAAGAATGACGGCGAGCGCAGTTTACATTGTTCATAGAGATACTTCAACAGTAATTTTTCTATTTAAAAAATAAAAATATATAAGAACACAACATAATTTATTATGATTTAATCTAATGTTATTTATGCGTAGTAAGAAGAATGTGATTCTAAGTTAAGAATATATGTTTAAATTCAATTAGCTCCATGAACACGGCCAAAGAAGATACTGGAAACATAATTCAAGGAAGCATCCACCTTAGCAATCTGTGACAACATTCCGCATAGTTTCAACTCGGGTGTACCGTTTTCAATCTAGCATCATTATGCTTAATAATATAATGATCACAGCAAACATTCTACTCCCTTCATCATCGATAAAAAGGAAATTTTAGCATTGCATATCAAGAAAACTGTCCAAATGTTCTAAATATAGAACTGTGTGTGTCTTAGATTTGCTGTAAAAGTTTAATTTTTTTATCGTGTTTTACTACGATAAGTATAATTTTATTCAATCTTGTTTTACAGTAGAGTTGCGATGCTTTTTAATAATATGCTTTTAATAATATGATAACAAAACAAACAAATTAGATTTAGTTTTTTACAATATTGATATGAGATATTAAATAAAATATTGATACAAATGACATGAAATGTTGATATATAAAACTGTTATCTTACATAAAAATTTGAAATTTTCTACAAATTGTAATACTCTCTCGCTCGTTTTAGATCTACTAGCTTTTACATTATTTAATTTAATAACGCAAACAATTTCATGGATTTATTTTATTTTATTTTATTTTTTAAATAAATTATCAACTCACTGTTCAATTCAGTGTTATCTTTCAAAATAATTTACACATACCGTTATCCAACCTTTCCCGACAACTCGCACATGTCGCGAGTTCTTTGACATGCCCTGTTCTCCAAGTTAGAATAGCTTTACGCCACGAGCCGCTAGTTAGAGGGAGAGATCCCCTCAGGTCTCAGAAATTCATTCGTGAAACATTCCACATAATCTCACGTCGACAACGCTGTTTTCGGTATACATACCGTCGCGTCGCGCATCGTACGCGATTTAGAATACTCGGTCGTGAAATAGTCGCCGTTATTGTTAGGATTATCTGCGACAGGATCCTGCCGTTAGCGCAAACATGCCCCATGTTCCTTCATGAACATCAAGTTTGCATATAATGCAACCACTCGACGTAGAAATTTATGTGAGTTATAATTCATGTATATCCGACTGCGCTTTTATATTTCGCAGATTTTTTATTCTTTATAGTATTTATGCCTGAGATTTAAAGATCTCTCTCTCTCTC